TATTACATAGGACTGAGAATTAAAGCAGGAAATGTAGGTCATCTGAACCATAGGAGAAATGCGCCTTGGGCATTGGGAGCTATGAACGTTGTCTTTCCCATACAGTCACGGGTTGATTATGACTGGGTTTTAAACTATAACATAGGTGAACTGGCAGTTACTTCTGAAGATAACATTGTACCTGTGTCCACTGCATTTATTATTGTCAGGTGCTAAGGTAATAAAATTTATTTTAAACTTCTTGAATATTCAGAATTGTGCTGTACGAAGAATGTACTTACGTCTCATGTTCACAAGCATAATAAGAGTTATGGGTAGCCCATAGCAGGCTCTGCAGTGTTATAAGAGAAATGTTGAAATAAAATGAAAAACCACTATTTATGTGGAGGTGAAGCATCTAGTTGAAGAAGCTTTTTCCCCCCCGCCCCGTATCTGTGTTTTTGCTTGGTGTTTCAGCTGAGATGACTCATTAACAACTTCACCTTCCAAAAATCATGTTGAAGCTGAATAATGTTGTTCAAGTCTGAATCAAGACTGGAATGCTGAATTTTGGATGACACCATTTAGTAAATTTTTCTTGTTAACATGTTATTTTATCCATATTTATTACTTGAGTTTATGGGTGTACTTACTATTCCTGTTGATTACTGTTTATTACTGTAAGACTCACTCTCTAAAGAGATAACCCTCCACTTATTTTCATGTATTCAGTAAAGAATCATGTTTAAAGACTTGCATTTCTTTAAATGGAGTTATTTTTCACCAGAAAGTATTAAGTTCCTTCTTTTCTTACTCTTAAGTAATCAAAATTCTTTGATGCTACACTTTCACGTTTTTTGCAGTAATTAATTTTTCTTTTTTTACTGTTATGTTTTATTGATGTTTAATATCTAGAAGCATCATATAGCAATTCTTGACCTAGTTCTAGGCCTTTCTTGCTAAAACCAGAGAGATTGAGGTAGTGATGAAGTACATCCTTTAAATCTGTAAAGCAAATAGAGGAGAAATTGGAAGTTATGATTGGAACACTGTTCAGCTGATTGGTTTTCCAGGTACTTTAGAAATTTAATGGATTTCCCAAAACGTGTAACACAAATGGAGTAATAATTTGTTAATCATGTTAAATATTTTGATCTCTCATACGCCAATCCCCCAAACTGTTGAACAGTTGATTCAAATCCAATCAAGTTTATTTCTTTTGTTGTTGTTCTTTTTCTTGAATTACAAGTGCCCCTATACCTATCAGGTAAAGTGAGACACTTGGTATATTCTAGAGACTGCTGAAAAGGTTACTTGTGATTTAGAATCCATTACTCTTTCCTATCCTTTTTTTTGTGAAATATAAAATATATTCAAATGATCTTAAGGTTTGCAATAAGTGTGTAGAACTCACAGCGCAGGAAGTGGCTATTTTTATTCATGGAGCGATTGTGGGACTGTATTGTGGTGGCTTCATGAACTTGCCTCTCAACTGACATATGGTGAGTTAATAAATAGGTTGTTGGTTGAAGCTTCTGAGTCAGTAAAGTCAAATTTTGTCAGAGTAGAATATTTTTTCCTTCTTTTTTTCTCACTGTGTTTAAAAGTTGGTTGTTTTTTTTTTTTTTTTTTTTTAACCCTGACCTTTATCCAAACAGTAAAAGTGGGTAGTCAACTAGAAGGGAATCTAGGCACTCACTGGTTCTAACCCTTTCATTTGGGAATCAAGATGCGTGCTTTTCTGCTGTAGCCCTTGTGTGTCTGGGCTTTGTGCCTCTCTGAGTGTATAGAGAGGCTTTGTGTTGCCATAGTTCCTGCTTTTGAACTAGATAGGCTGGAAGATTTATCTAGGGAAGAGTAAAAATGGAAATGTTTCTGTGCCCACCGATGCAGGTTGATGGGTTGTTTTGGGTGGGGTGGTTTTTTTTTGTTTGGTTGGCTTTTTTTCTTAATGCCTATAGGAGAAGAGGGTGATTTTCATCAGGTTCTTGGTCTAAGCTTTTATTTTACCTGAAAAGATTGAGAACAATGTTTTGAGATTACCTTTTTTTTTTTTTAAATGCTAAAGAGTACTTCAAAGAGTAGTGCTGAACTCTCTATTTTTAAGGCTAGTTTAAGTGCTAAATGTAATTTGAACAGCTTTAAATAATGTATGTTATATTTAGACCCCCATATTTTCAAAGGTAGATGACAGCATTATTCTGGTACCTTACCATAGGACCTGATTTGTTAAAGGATTTGAGTGATGGTGACTCTGGGATAGAATATGAACTCTGCAGTCATTGGTAGTTTTACATGACCGGTACTTCAGAGACAGGCCATCCCCTGAAGTGCATAAATAGAAGTTTAGATGTTCATATTGAATGGTCTAGTGTCTTCATAATATGCTTGGGAACATGGTACGGCCAGGAGAGATTACTGTTACTGAACAAAATATATGTGGTCATTTCAAACAACTCCATATTTCAAATCTCTTTTTCGGTTCTCTGGATGTCATGTATATCCACATCAAGCACAGTTACCTCACTTTCTCGTTTTACTGATGGAGAAGCAAACGTCTATCATTTAAATGTTCTTTATTCCAAACTGTAATTGAGATGGGGGTGGGGTTTAATGAGGTTAAAATTCATGTAGCCAGGCCAGTGAGGGATGTTTTTGGTTTCCTTAACTTAGTTAATCATCTACTGAATTAAATCATATATAATCTGGCTGCATCAGGAATATTGTTTTAGTAAGGATTTCAGGAATAATTCCTTGATAGTATCTGAATACCCCAGATAACCTTTGAGATAAGGAACCATTCATTTCCCCTTCCACCATTGTAAATGTTGTGGAATTATTATAGATTGGATTTGCACATCTATATTATTTCAGATTGTCTTTACAAATTGACCAGGGAAATAACACTAGCAACCGATTTTTAATTCAAATTTTCCATACAGTGAAGGATTTTAGAAGAAATATATTGATTAAATAGTCTTTAGTTTTAGTCTTTAGCATCATAGAAACTCTATAGATTAATAGCATGAAATTCCTGTATTAAGAATAATAATTCCTCAAGTTTCTTCTACTCACTGAAGAGTTGTTTCAAGTTACTGTAAGAATATTGGTAATTTATTTTTCTTGAATCAACAATTATGTGTAAAATTCACAGTAGCCCAGTGTTTATTTGTTTTGTAAGGTAGGTTTGATACATAAATAAAATTAAAATTTAACTCAGTTTCCTGATTTTTCATAAATTATGTATTAAAAATGCTCACTGTAATGAATTTAAGGAACAGATTAAATTTTATTGCATAGGATAAATCGATAGATTATTAAGTTTGGAAGGAAAGACATCTGATATTACAAAGCAAAACAATGCTTTCACTTAAGTTACTTTAGCAAATAATTGGTATAGTTGATCTTTTTTCAATTGCTTTTTATAAACAAAAGAACTCCGTGGGAATATTTTCAAGCAGACTGAGACTTGGTGTCCTGAGTTCTGTTCACTTTTTGTCTGACTTGACTTGTCATTTTGAGCAAGATATTTAACTCCTCGATTTTTGTTTTCCAGTCTTTAAAAAGGAGAATAAAACTTATGTATTTAATTGAACTCACCAAGTGGTGTTTGTCTGTACACACCCGAGGTATTAGCTGTCCACCCTTTAGAAAGTATATGCTAAAGAATGCATGTGATTTTCATTATAATACAATTTCTAAAATAACTCCCAGGTAGAAGTAGGTTGGAAAGAGCAACTTACTGTTTGAAGGCAGTTTGGGAGCAATTTTCTTGGAAGTATAATACTCCAGGAATGTAGTTCAGTATTAAAGTAGGAACCTCTCTGCTTTGTCGGCAATTTAATGATGAAAATTATGTGGAAATTTAAAATGAGCAGAGGACATGGGTTTGGAAGCTAATTCAGCATTGATAGCACTTGTTGCTCAGTTTGTTCTTGTGGAGCACCAGGTTATTCTCAGGGGAGAGCAGAGAGGAAAAAAAGCTGCAGATTAAGCTTCTGTAACTACTCATGAAGCAAATTAATTGTGGGATTTCCTAATTATTGGAATTAGGGTTCGTTGTCTGCTATTGATATTCTCCTTGAATATTACCTAAAGCTGATTTAAATAATTGAATACTTTTTAAGCTTAGAGGCATGCTGGGGAATGAAAATGAAGTTAAATCATAGAATCATAGAATCATTAAGGTTGGAAAAGACCTATAAGATCCTCGAGTCCGACCGTCCACCCAATACCTTCATGTTTTGATTAGGGCATTTCAAACAGTATCAACCCTGAACATAAGCAGTTTATATATATGATATTTTTTAATTGAATACTTTTTAAGCTTAGAGGCATGCTGGGGAATGAAAATGAAGTTAAATCATAGAATCATAGAATCATTAAGGTTGGAAAAGACCTATAAGATCCTCGAGTCCGACCGTCCACCCAATACCTTCATGTTTTGATTAGGGCATTTCAAACAGTATCAACCCTGAACATAAGCAGTTTATATATATGATATTTTTAAGAAGTAATTTTAAAATTTTTTCCAGTTTTGTGATACCTTTCCCATATGTCCTGGTGTTGTGAGACTTGATGATAATTCTGAATAATACATTATAACTGATACATTAAGATGAGAAGTGCTTTCTTCTTACTACAGGAAATAAACTATTCCCACTGAAACACCACCAGCCTCAGTTAATTTATGGTTGTCCCTGTGGCTCTTGGGAATCCTGAGCATGGACCAAGTCAGGTCTTGAATAAGATATGATTTATGTTTATATGCTATATTCATCATAACTGTAAAGAGTTTTATTTCTGTGGACATCCGATTACAGTGGATAGAGTTTAGATAAGGTGATGAAATATTGTGTAACTTCTTTTCTGATCTATTTCTTTCAAAGTCTAGTACACTATGCAATATAGTATATACTACAAGGAAGTTCAATGTGCTTTAAAACTGGATGTTAAGTCTGATGTTTGATTCTGCTCAATGCTGTAGTCTAATTCTGTTCCCACTACTTTGTTTCTTCCAGGACATGAGAGACTGCTCCCACGATGGCAGAGATTTGTGTGAAAGATTTTGTTGAACACTACATGACTCTTAAATGCTAAAAGCAGAAGGCACTAGCTGGTAGCTCAGTGTGGAGCAAAAATTTTATTTTAAACTTCAAAGATAATTATGTCAAAGAAAAGTCGTGCCAAGGGAGAGAAGTCCGACATGGAGATTGAAGCCCTGCAAGCTGCTAATGAGGAGCTACGAACTAAACTAACCAACATCCAGATAGAATTTCAACAAGAAAAAAGCAAGGTATTTGTCTGTCTATATTTTGTGATCATTCTTCTTAACAGTAGCACTGTTTGAAACCATCAGATCTTGAATCTCAGACTAAAGCACTACTAAAATGCATTAGCCTTAAAAGAAAAACACGTGACGAAGAAGTGAAATCAGAAGAACCACTGATGAACTGAAATTGATGCCAACTACTTTAAATAACGTGCAAAAGGAAGTGAATATCCCCAAACATCAAGTCACTGAAATTTGCAGTCGCAGCAATACAAATGGCGCTAGCTTAGTGTGACTTAAAGGCAACAAGGGAGTTTTGTATTTGATCTTAGCACTGAAAACTGTATGTTGTAAAAAGAAGTGTCTTCAAAGTCAAACGTCAGCATCATATTCAAAGCATGTCACTTTAAATGCCTATGGAGAATGTAAATTAACTGGAAATCATTTGTGTAGGAGTCCTGATTTGATTTCCTGAGGTTATGTGTGCCATTGCTCTGAGCTGTTCAATGATGCATCCGATTGCTAATGAAACAGATGCATCAATATTTGCTATCTAGCACATGTTCAACAGGTATTTGAGTAATCAAGAGAACACCTAGGAGAAATTGTTCATTCATGAAGATTAGCATTTACTTTTATATATCTCTGTAGCAGTTTAAAATATGGACAAGCCAATAAGGTTATTTCTATTCTATTAGTTTATTAATCTCAATTAGTGCATTTGACTTTGCACAAGACGGTCCTGGAGGTGAATCCATGTGGAGATGGATTTATCTGTGTTTGTTTGGTGATACTGTAGTTGCAGGAGTCTCAAGGACTTACCAGTGCAACAAGTATGCACTGAAAACATGTTCACTTTATATAACATAGCTTTGTTCTAGCCTTGTTTCTTTGTATCTGTGTAAAATTTGGAACACCTGAATAATAATATTCCTGTATGTTCTAGTTTCTTTAACAACCTTGTGTGATACTCAGCTTTGAATGGTCTTATTTTTCATATTTTAATTAAAAAAGCAAACAAAAAAACCCCCTACAAATATAATCTTCAGAATTTATTTCTTACAGAGGAAAAAGAAACAGTGAAGCCTTAATTCTTGTTTGACTGATACAATAGATTCAGTATATATCAGCCAACTAAATTGTGTTGCCTTGGAAATTTTTTTCTTCGCGGACTAAAGCAAAAGTCGTATCTCTTATGGGTCAGCAGTATTGATGAGTGAACAGAAAAGTCAGGGGTTTTTGCTATTAGCTTCCTCATCTAACTTCTCCTACTCGTTTGATATAATGAGAATAAATTATAAAACAAGAGTGGCACAAACTACTTGTGCTACTTAAAACCGCACACCATGAAATTTACTAGTGGCTGATACCCTTTAAAATTGAATTTACCAGCTGATAAATTATATTATTTCACTGTCATTTTTAGCGTCTCAGTGCTTTTGCTATTAGCTTCCTCATCTAACTTCTCCTACTCGTTTGATATAATGAGAATAAATTATAAAACAAGAGTGGCACAAACTACTTGTGCTACTTAAAACCGCACACCATGAAATTTACTAGTGGCTGATACCCTTTAAAATTGAATTTACCAGCTGATAAATTATATTATTTCACTGTCATTTTTAGCGTCTCAGTGCTTGTTTGGAAAGAGACTTGTAGGCTGATGGTACATTACATTACATTACTAAATTTTTCTTTTTAGTTATTTTGTCTTATTTCCTATTTTGTTCTGTATCACTTTTTGTGTAGAAATACAGATGTGAATTTTATTATCATCTTTTAATTGCATTAAAAAGATTACACAAATAGAAAGTTATCTTATACCTTGGACAGAAGAATGAATTAATTTTGAGGGTTTAAATTACTCAGATTCTAAAAAAGTCTACAACAAGATTACACGAACCCTAAGAAGAGTTTAGCCCTGATATGCTTCCAAGTTTGATGCTTTACCTGTAATAGTGTCAAGTTTAACTCTGATTCACCTAAGAGTAAAGCGTAGCTACATGACCATGACAGCTGTAGGAACGTTTTCTATAACTAGTCTGCTGATTTACCTATATCCAGTTTGGTAAGAGTTGCTTCAGTTTGGTTACCTGTTCATCTTTCTACAGTTTGAGAATTTCATATTTTCTGGAGTATTGAGGTTGTTATAGGAGACACATCTGTGTATTGTGCGCACATGTGTGCAGAGAAATGAGTGAGCTCACATATGTAATGTTTAGGTGAATATGAAAGAGGAAATTACAGCCACAGTGCTCTAAAATCCTACTAAATATACAGTGCAGGCCGCAGTAAATTCTGTGGCATGTTGGAGTGCATTTCTGGGAGGATGGGGGGGATTAGGTCTTCAGTGTCTTTCCTACATCTTTGCTGTAGTGTTTGCTCTGAATCATTTAAGTAGAATTGAACCGTGTAGTTTATTTCCCACCATCAGGGCAACAGCCTGCTCTCTGTCTGTGCAGCAGTTATATAGGATGCCTTGACTGACAAGATGAGTAAGTTAAAGGCATAGAGATTTTTCCTCTTGAGAGTGTAGCTTAAAAATGGGTAAGAAAACCAACAGAAATTATGGCTTGGTATCAGAAAAGTAAAAACAGTGTGCCTAGAGAATTCTAAATAAATTAGATGGCTTTATTGGCACAGAGGTAAGAGGGAATGCGTTGAAGCTGCTAGAGAGACAGCTCTGTGGCCCGTGGGACATAAACTGTATTAGGAAAGGTAACAAACTCTTGTGGGGCCAATTCATTTAATTTAATTCTCCTAAACTATTTTGTCCCTCATGTATATGCCTATATTAATGATTATCTTAGGAAGAACCTTCTAATTGATGAGAGACATCACAAATGGAAATTAGTCTTAACATACTTCTGCCTGCAAAATACTGGTTTCTTTGAAATAAAATTATACCCAAGAGACATCTCTGATCCAAAATTGGTATGTCTGCAGTTCTTTGAATGTGCATCATCGTGGATCTTGCTGGTGGTGTTTTGGGCCTCTGGTGTACGAGCAGCTGGATTCATTTATGTTGCCAAAGGGGTGAAGCAAAAGTTGTGGCCCTGCCTTAGTTCCCTTTTACTGCCTTTTGTTTTGGGAACACTTGTTTGATGTGTTTGGGCAGCCTGTTGTTATGTAGCGTGTCCTCTTGGGATTGTAGGTTTGCTGCCATCTGCAGAGAGCCTGGAGAAGGAAATGCATGAACTGAACGCAGGCTCACAGACTGCCCTCTGCTAGTGGAAATGTTTGGTTGGAAGGCATCCAAAATTTGGGTATCAAGTAACAAAAAGAGTTGACCAAAGGACAAAAATTATACTTATTTTAACATGGATGGAGGCAGGACTCGCTCTAACTGAACCTTAAAGTCCGGTGCAGTAAGCACAAGGAGCTGCAGTGAATGAGCATGGTCTTGGCAGTCTGAGTCAAGAAAATGTGAATCAGCTCAGTGGTTTTATAAAAGCCAATGCTGAGATCCATGAATATTTAGGAACAAGTATTACAAAGTACCTATTCCTACTGAGATGGTTAGCAAACATTAGAAGATAGTCTTCCAATACTTTGGGTAATATTTTGTTCCTGATAGCAAGGTGTTATAGTGTTTGCTCTCGCTATTGCTCCATCTTCACCGAGTTCTGCTATTGCTTTTAAATATCTATATTCTGCTTGTGACTGTACATTTATAGAGTTGCTATCGCAACACATCTAGGAGTTAGGATAAATGAGATGTTTCAACTCAGTTGCTACTGTATCACCTCACAATTTTATAGATTGTTTTTGTAAGTCCTCATGATTTTCCCAGATTTCTTTGGGGGTTTTGAGCTTTGATGTCAGATGTTGAATCTGTGTGTAACAGTGATTCTTTGTAAGTTGAAAAAAAATCCATTTTCAATATGTGAAATTAAAAAAAAAAAAAAGAGATAGCATGCCATACTGTCAAAACAGCTTTATTTACTGGGGATTAAAAATGTCATATGGAAAAGAGTTATGGCCAGTATGTATAGAAGAACTCTAAATACAGCTGTTGATTTGAGAATCCAGGCATACCGAATACATATAAAACCGAATGTTATTCCCGTCTGCTATGTATGGAATAAGAAAGGAGCAGGTTAACTTACTGAACTATAAGGAGCGTACTGAATAGCAAGGAGGCACTAGGGTATTGTAATTGGGAATGAAATATGGCAAACCTCTTGGAGCAGGGAAATGGATGAAGTGTTGGTAAAACCATGTATAGTTACTCCTGCCACTACTGACTGGGATTAAAGGAAGCACATCCCTTTGGGTAGGTTGTTTCCTGACAGCAGTTGAAGGGCATTTGAATTCAGCTGTTCTCTACTCTTGATATATAAATGTAAATTCTCAATACTTAACAAAATCACTAAAATGAGAGAATTTTGGGTATCTGTCAAACATTGGACAGTAAGTAACAAAGTTATTAAGAATAAATGTGGCAGTGTTACTTCAATCAGAATTCAAAATTATTAAATGAGTGAATATGCTAGACATGATAATGCGATTTCTAACCCAGGTAAAACAGATATTGGAGAGGAGTGAAACATCAATAGACAGATACTAAGCAATGATTATCCTTAATTTGGAAGAATCAACAAGAAAGGATGATAATTAAACCTTTTAGATGGTATCATGTTGGAAGAGGTTGACAGAAAAAACAGTGCAAGAGATCCAAAAAAGTCTGATGTTACAATGTGATCTGCAGGAAAATTCTACTCAGAACTGCAGTAGGGCCTTTAAAATTAATGTGTCTTATCAAATTACATATCTAAACTTTTTAAATCTGGACTGAAAGGACAATCACTGGAGTCTTCAGAAGTTTCTAGGGGATCCAAATACAGCACAGGGAAAAGAGATATGTTTCATATATTCAGATATGAGCAGAAACACATTTTCTGTGATCCTTTGATACTGTTACATAATCTGGAGAGTTTATGTTAAATGAAGTGGAAACGCTTGAGGCAGGAAAGATTACAGTAGATGTGGTGCCTTGATTTTTTATTTATTCTTTTTAAAGA